ATGAATTTCTCTTGGGTGGAGACTGTGTCTTATTCATCTCTGAATCACCAGATCCTAGCGTAGTCCTTTCCTCACAGGAGATACTGGACTAGAAGCTTGCTGAACAAATGAATGAGCACACGATCAGGAGAATGGACAGGATGAACTGCACAGGTCTCAGATGCAGGCACACAGACATGCACACAGTTCCTCAGCATCCCATCTCTCCCGTGCCAAAGTCATTATGCTAATATTCACCCCTGCAAATGCATACTTCTCACCCCTGTGGCGGCTGAATTGAATTCTAGCAATTCATCCTTGTTCTTCGCATGTTGGCATTTTGCTTTCAGAAGGGCTCTGGTAGCTGTAGCTGTCCTTTCATTAATTTATTTATTTTTATTTTTTATTTTATATATATATATTTTGAGACAGAGTTTCGCTCTTGACACCCCAGCTGGAGTGCAATGGGGCGATCTCGGCTTACGGCAACCTCTGCCTCCCAGGTTCAATCGATTCTCCTGCCTCAGCCTTCCGAGTAGCTGGGACTACAGGTGCCCACCACCATGCCTGGCTAATTTTTGTATTTTTAGTAGAGACAGGATTTTGCCATGTTAGCCAGGCTGGTCTCAAACTCCTGATCTCAGGTGATCTGCCTGCCTCGGCCTCCCAAAGTGCTGGGGTTACAGGCGTTGACCCACTGCACACGGCCTTATTTTTTATATATTTTTCTGAGACAGAGTCTTTCTCTATTGCCCAGGCCGGAGTGCAGTGGTGTGATCTCGGCTCACTGCAACCGCTGCCTCCCAGGTTCAAACAATTCTGGTGCCTCAGCCTCCTGAATAGCTGGGACTAGAGGCACGCACCACCACGCCCAGCTTATTTATTTATTTATTTATTTATTTATTTATTTATTTATTTAAGATGGAGTTTTGATCTTGTTGTCCAGGCTGGAATGCAATGGCACAATCTTGGCTCACTGCTACCTCCCCCTCCTAGGTTCAAGAGATTCTCCTGCCTCAGCCTCCCGCATAGCTGGGATTACAGGCGCCCGCCACCACACCCAGCTAATTGTTGTGTTTTTAGTAGAGACGGGGTTTCACCATGTTGGCCAGGCTGTTATCAAACTCCTGACTTCAGGTTATCTACTCACCTCAGCCTCCCAAAGCGCTGGGATTACAGGCATTAGCCACTGCACCTGGCCTAATTTTTGTATTTTTAGTAGAGATGGAGTTTCACCTTGTTGGCCAGGCTGATCTGGAACTCTTGACCTCAGGTGATCCGCCTGCCTCGGCCGTGTCTGGCCCAGCTGTCCTTTTAGACAAGGTTTACGTGAGCTTGAGCAGCACAGGATGAGGGGAAAAGCGGGACTGGAGGGGCATTCCAATGTTGAACCAAGACCAAGTTGGGGCTTGGAGCTTTGGGGTCCTGGTTGGAAATGGGCTACTCTGGATGTGATAAGGGACTGGGGTGGGCCCGCGGTGAAAAGAGATCAGTGACTCAGAGTAGGGAAGGATCAAAGGCTCCCTGGACAGAAGTTATCTCTATATAGAGGAGTGTTCCTGCAGGCAACCGGCCACTCCTCTGCTGAACCCTCTTAGGCTCTAGTGAGACCAAATACAAGTACCTGGCACACTGAATGAATGAATGAGTGCATGAATGCTGATCCACATGCTATTTTACATCTCTGGGACTCACTTTTTCTCATCTGTAAGTTTTGGGGGTTGAATTAGATGCCTCCAGGATTCCCACTACCACTTCTTCTCCCATCCCTGCCTTGTCAATTCGTGGTACATGCACTGCACATGCATAAGTATATGCATCAGTAATCATATACCTACATCAAATATGAATTTTGCTGGCCGGGAGTGGTGGTTCATGCCTGTAATCCCAGCACTCTGGGAGGCTGAGGTGGGCAGATCACTTGAGGTCAGGAGTTCGAGACCAGCCTGGCTGACATGGTGAAACCCATCTCTACTAAAAATCAAAATACAAAAATTAGCTGGGCATGGTGGTGGCACATGCCTGTAATCTCAGCTACTCAGGAGGCTGAGGCAAGAGAATGGCTTGACCCTGGGAGGTGGAGGTTGTATTCAGCCAAGATTGCACCACTGCACTCCAGCCTGAGCAGCAAAGTGAGACTCTACCTCAAAAAAAAAAAAAAAAATGTGCCTAATTATTCTTGGGAGCCCCTTGAGCTCTCAGTAGAGAAGGATGGAGACTCTGGAGTCAAACAACCCTCTGTTTAAAGTTTTTGTTTTTTTGAGACAGAGTTTAGCTCTTGTTACCCAGGCTGGAGGGCAATGGCGCCATCTCGGCTCACTGCAACCTCCGCCTCCTGGGTTCAGGCAATTCTCCTGCCTCAGCCTCCTGAGTAGTTGGGATTACAGGCATGCGCCACTATGCCCAGCTAATTTTTTTGTATTTTTAGTACAGACAGGGTTTTACCATGTTGACCAGGATGGTCTTGATATCTTGACCTCATGATCCACCCGCCTCGGCCTCCCAAAGTGCTGGGATTACAGGCGTGAGCCACCGCGCCCGGCCTGTTTAAAGTTTTGAGTTTGCCATTAGCTAACTATGTGATTTAGGAAGTGTTTCTTCTCTTTGCTTCTGGTTTGTCATCCACGAAGTGAGAATAATAATCATTCTGTTTATCACTCAGAGTTACAAGCATCAAGTGAGAGCATCTGTTCAAAAGAGTTTTGAGATCTGCCAATGTCACTAAGGTGTTATTTATGATTATCCCACATAGTAGGTGCTTGGGAAAGGCTCACTAAATGAATGGATGACTCCCTGGACTTGCTTCCATTTTTACTCCAGCTCTGTGAACAGAAATTCTTTAGAGGTTTTTTTTTTTTAATGGACTTTACCCTAACACTGCAGAAACCTTGAGGCAATACAGCCAGAAGTTCCCCATCACTTCATAAAGCTCACCACCTAAGTGCTCCAACTTTGTCCCTTTCATAAGTCAACAGGGTGGGTGGGGGCTGGGAGGGGAAACAAAGGAGCTGTTAGCAGGTAGGAGCAAGTCAGCCCATCTCTGTGCAAGTCACCACCAATAAAACCTAATCAATGCAACCCCTTTTAAGTTGGTTGGATCAGTGACCCAGAAAATAGCGCCCCTGCAGAAAAGGAAATGATAGTCAATAAACTCAGACGTCAATGGGAAAAATCTATTAAAGAGAGTGAGATATCAGGAGACCTCTGGTGTTAACGGAGACCCTTTGGAATGAAGCCATGGATCCGAGAGCAAGTTTTTAACCCTCTTGAGGCCCGGAGGCTAGGAGTAGCCTCTGCCTCAACTCAGATGGCAGCGGAGCCTGCAGCTTCTGCAGCTTTGCTGGGACCTGGGTCTTCCCACACGTTATTGAGGAGCACATGCTGTCTAATTTCCTTGTGCTACTTGCCTGTTCAAACTGGTGCTTTGGGGTGCATGTGTTCCCTCCTAGGTGGGGCTGGCCTGAGGCTCCGTTTGCGGTGCTGCCTGGAAATGACACCTCTCTGGCCCATAGAGAAATTAGCTGGAGGTCTCTACCCCCGCTCCCTCCAAGTTATAACCGCTGCTCCGACCTGGGTGTTGGGAGCTAGAGGTCAATGCCTTGCTCTTGACCAGGTCTCCTGACGCTGCACTGCCAGTTAGCAGGCGCCACTCCTCTAGCGTTCACAAGGAAGTGAAAGCTGTCCCCAAGAAACCGACTGAAGATAAGGTAAATTGCATGGCACAATGGCATTCGCTTGGCCTGCACATGGCTTCAGCGACTCTTCCGGCTCACTGTCATCAAGCAGGGCAGAGAACGAGGGACATTGTGGTGGGCTGGTGGGTTTCAGGGTGAAGCCGTGTTAAACATAGAAAAACTTGAGAGCACATCGGCAGGAGAACAGCTCTCAAGATGGCGTGTGCTGGTTCTGGGAATGCTGCACACCCTGTGCCGTGCCTGTCATCACCAGCAGCGCCAGGTTGCACGTACTGCATCTGCGTCTGTGTCTGTGTGTGTAGCTGCTGAGTTTGTCTCACAGAGCCAAGCTGCTACTAAAGAACATCACCAAGAGACAGTGACAATGTCTTCAGTGAAGGACATTTGGACATGCTGATGCATTGTGAATAAATGTGAAAATGTTAGAGTAAGTTTAAATGGGGGCATGTTTATTGGAATTCTGGTGAGTTTGACAGGGCCTGGCTTGTGCAGAGGGCTGCAGGGAGCGAGACTTGTGCTTTTCGTCCTTTCGTTTGCTCTTGGAGAGCCCGTTTGCTGGTGAACTCTCTGTCCAGTGACTGTATGTACCCTTTAATGATTATTGTTATTATTGTTATTGTTTAATCTTTCAGTTTTACAGTCTGTCTTTGGAAACGGGAGTCCTAGGGCCATAGTATTTACACCATCTAGATCAGCAGACTGTAGGGGAGATATTGACAGTTTCCTGGTCTATTTGAGACAGTTCCAGGGCCCACAGGTGGGTGTCTATGCTTCAAGAAGCCACAGGCCGGGCGCGGTGGCTCAAGCCTGTTACCCCAGCACTTTGGGAGGCCAAGGCAGGTGGATCACGAGGTTAAGAAATCGAGACCATCCTGGTCAACATGGTGAAATCCCGTCTCTACTAAAAATACAAAAATTAGCTGGGCATGGTAGCGTGTGCCTGTAATCCCAGCTACTCAGGAGGCTGAGGCAGGAGAATTGCCTGAACCCAGGAGGCGGAGGTTGTGATGAGCCGAGATGGCGCCATTGCCCTCCAGCCTGGGTAACAAGAGCAAAACTCCATCTCAAAAAAAAAAAAAGAAGAAGCCACGAAGTTCACACGAACCAGCTAAGATTAGCTTAGCCAAGATTAGTTGATCACAGTTACATATCCCCAGACTGTAGGCCAGGCGCAGTGGCCTGTAATCCCAGCACTTTGGGAGGCTGGGATGGGTGGATCACTTGAGGTCAGGAGATCGAGACCAGCCTGGCCAACATGGTGACACCCCATCTCTATTAAAAACAAAAACAAAAGATACTTGCCCTCCAGAAGGTGGGATATTAATAGTGCTTGCTTTGGCAGCACGTATACTAAAATTGGGACGATACAGAGAAGATTAGCACGGCCCTTGTTCAAGGATGACATGTAAATTCGTAAAGTGTTCAAAAAAAAAAAAAAAGAAAATTTTTTACATATCCCCAGACTGGAGGTAAGGGGCAACCTCACAGCTCCCTCCTTCCTTGTCTCCTGCTGCTGCCCATGTTGCTTATGGGATGTCCGCTGTTGCAGGGATGGAAGTGGTTAAATGCGGTGGGGATTGTGAAAGATGTTCTAATATGTTTGTGGGGATTGCTTATAAGCAACTTTATGAATATGTAATTTTTGGAGCTGGACTGGTCGTGTTCCTATTACACAGGAACACGTCAGGAGAATCACCTTTCCTAAGAGTATGAGAACCAGCTGGGTCTCTATCTTCATTCACTCCCTCAGATTGGTCATGGATTCTGGGAGGTTGGGGGAGGTTTAGTGGTAAAAGAGTAAATTGACAAATATGCCTCAGACACAGGAGTCAAGTCTCTGGTTTCTCTGAGTCATGGGTTCATGCTTTCTTTAGGGCCTGGCGGTTTTTCTTTGGCATTTCAGGGAGCATTCAGAAAGCACTGGTGTGCCCCAAGTCAGCACGGTGGGCCCAGAGGCTAGAGTGAGGCTTCCTCCACTCCCATCCCAGGAGTAGGCCAGGGGTGTTCCTTAGAGACCTTGCTCCCTCATCCCCTTCAACTCAGTGACACCCTCAACAGCAGAGGCCCATGAAGATGGAGTGGGATGTAGCTGAGGATAATGAATTACTCATCCCTGGGGAGGCAGCCTGAGCTCTGGAGTTAGGTGAGCTTTCTTGGAGTTTCACGGTGATCTCATTCTAGGTGCATGAAATTGGGCAAGTCACTTTACCTCAGTCTCCTCATCTGTAAAATGAGGGCCAATAGGAGTATGTCTCTCACAGTGTTTTTAGGATCAAACAAGACAATGTATGTATAATAACATATTTATTGTGGTCACTGGCACAAAAAAGGAGCTTGGAAGTGGTAGTTTTGTTTTGTTTTGTTTTGTTTTTGAGACGGAGTCTTGCTTTGTTGCCCATGCTGGAGTACAATGGTGCCATCTCCGTTCACTGCAGCCTCCACCTCCCAGGTTCAAGCCATTCTCCTGCCTCAGGCTCTTGAGTAGATGGGATTACAGGCACCTGCCACCATGCCCAGCTAATTTTTTTATTTTTGGTAGAAACGGGGTTTCACCATGTTGGTCAGGCTGGTCTCGAACTCCTGACCTCATGATTCTCCCTCCTTGGCCTCCCAAAGTGCTGGGATTACAGGCTCGTGAGCCACCGGGCCGGCCCAAAAATGGTAATTCTTTTACTCTTCCAAGATAGGATCTTATTTGCAAAAACGAGTCCTATGTTACAAGCCGTGAGCGAGGGATTTTTTGAAACAGAGCCACTCTGCTGCTAGGAATGTGTGTCCGTTGTGGAACGGTGGTGGGGTGGGCAGAAGGCCTGTGACCCTCGGGCTTTGACCACAGGTCTCAGTCGGGAATTGTGTGCTGCTGCCACAAGGTGGCAGTGTTGACAAAAAAAAAAAAATCACATCCTTCGCTGCTACGAGGCCCAGATGGGAAGAATTTTACCTACGGTTTAAATTCTTTTTAGAATGGGAATACTTAGAGATCGCTTAATTCCATGACTCCACACCTTGGAAATGGAGGCCCAGAGAGGGGAAGAGCTTTCCAAGATCACAGAATGAGTTGGTAGCAGAGCTGTGCCCCTTATCCGGGACTCCTGATAGTTTACTGCTGAAATGCTCATTTGCCGTCCTGTTCTGCCCTTGGCTTCGCATCCTGGGCTTGGGGTCGGGGGGCCGGGGCCTCAGAGCCCTTGGTTCAGTCTTTGGATCTCTGTTTTCAAGTGCAGCCAATGGGACCCAAAAAGGTTTACCTGATTACCTGAGATAAACTGTGGGGTCCTGGCTGTGCACGGTGGCTCGCACCTGTAATCCCAGCACTTTGGGAGGCCGAGGCGGGAAGATCATGAGGTCAGGAGATTGCTACCATCCTGGCTAACATGGTGAAACCCCGTCTCTACTAAAAATACAAAAAAGTAGCTGGGCCTGGTGGCGGGCCTGTAGTACCAGCTCCTCTGGAGGCTGAGGCAGAAGAATTGCTTGAACCGGGAAGGCAGAGGTTTCAATGAGCCAAGATCGCACGACTGCACTCCAGCCTGGACTACAGAGTGAGACTCTGTCAAAAACAAACCAAAAAGCAAAAAAACCCTTGGGTCCCAAAGTCCCCAAGATCTTGACTCTATATCCAATATCCACACCTCATTTACAGTTTATCAGTGTCCTAGTGACAGAAGCAATGTGAAACCCATGATCTTCCCTCCACCACCCCCCTCCCCAGCAAAAGCTTGGTATTCCCTTAAGTCCAGGGTGAATGGGTGGGGTGGGGTGGGCTGGTTTGTCCGCTCAGTCCCAGGATTGGGATGGCCCCTGTCTGGCTGTGTTTGATAAGCAGGTGTAGCCTGAGGTGCATTTGGCTTCTGCTGCATGTTAGGAACCAGGTGAGTGCTAATGAATGCCCTGACTCTCAGTGAGTAACTGGGAGAAGATTACACCCAACTCCCGGCTGAGGACGCTGAGGCTCAGAGGGGTGAGTACCTCACCCAGGACTTCCCAGCGCTGAGCCCCTGCTCTTCAGGAGCTGGCCCGATAGGGTGAGGAGGGAGATGGCACACCTTTGTGATCCATGTCCTCCGCCAGCTTCTCTGTGCTGCCACAGAAAGTCCCCTATGAATAGAACTTTCTTCGCACAAATTCCTCCCCTCCTGCAACTTCACCCCCTCCCCACTGCAGCTTCCCACGAGTTCCTTTCCAGAGCAGTCGCTTGCTGAATGGGTTGCTAGTGGAAATGTGGTTTTCAAATTTGGGAAATCTCCATTAAGTCCTTTTATTTAAGGAGGATGTCATTATCGCGCCTCCCTGAGGACTATTAGGGTTGTATTAGGCAAGGCCGCAGACTTCCTAGGTACTGTCTGGGGTCTGATTCCTGGGCAGGAAAATGCAAGACAGGAAGAAGGGGAGGGGGTCAGAGAGAACAGAGGCTGGGGCGGAGGAGGGGAAGGAAGAAAGGAGGAGAGAGAATGAAAAAGAATGTGGGAGGGAGGGAGGAAGCAACTAAGGGAGAGGCAGAGAGCCCCTCACTCCCCAGGCAGAGGAGACCCTCAGCCACCCGGCCACCCGATAGCTTAGAGGGTTTACAATGAAACTGGACTGCTGCTGGAACTGGCTTCTTTCATCACACACAGGGGCTCCTGGGAGGTTCTTTATGCCCTCCAGGTGCCAGCCCACCTTAGGGCCTCCAGGTTCAGATTCAGGAGGGGCCTCAGTGAGGGCTGGGAGGGAGGAAGAGGATGCCAGGGAGGGCGGTTCTGGAAACTGGGTCTGGGCTCAGTTGGCCGGAAGGGTGTTGGCTTTCCTGACCACTCTGATGAACGGAAGATTTTCCCATTCTCTGCTGCCCCCTCCAGGAGAGCTCCAGGAAAGCAGACCTTCTCTCTGTTCTATGTTCTCTCTGCTCCCAGTCAATAGAACAGTGCCAGACACATAGTAGGTGTTCCGTAAGTGTTTGTGGTGTGGATAATAAATAATAGAAGTGTAAACAATTCCACAGCTTCCCCATCCTCTCCCTTGCTGCATTCACAGCCAAGTCTTCTCACAGATGGACCTTCTCTCAGTTCTCAGCAAAGGCTGGTGACCTTTTGCACACACACACACACCCTGGGCAGGGTTTAGGGAGGGTCAGGAACCGCATGGCGAGCAGCTGACATTGGCTTGGCCAAATGAGAAAGGGAAAAATATATGCCCCTCCTGGGACCTTCTTGTTAGGGGGTTACCATCTGCAGGCTGCCTGCTGGAAGTGCTTTAGGCTCTGGGCGGGAGGACTGATCCTCTGTGACAAACATCCTGGCTGGGAAATCCCTGGTCCGAGGGGCCCTAAGGCCTGGGCGGCCTCCTTGCACGCCATCCTGCCCTCTTCAGACCTTCCCCTGGCTCCTGGGCCTAAGGCCAGGACCCCTCTCTCTGCCTCTGAGGGGCCCCTCTTGAGAGTTAACCCAGTGCCCCTAGGGCGTCCCCTCCCTCGGAGCTCCTGTGCTGAAGTGATTAATGAGGCAGGGACAAAGCCTTTCTTCCCAGCTGTGTCAACACGCCCCTGCCCTCGTGGCCCCGCTAGCTGCAGGTATGGGGAAGCAGCCCCCCACCCCCCACTGCCCTAGGCAATTGCCTCTTCCAGGCCTGTTTGCCCCTTATCTGGGCTCTCTTCGGGGGCCCTGGCCTCCCACTGGGCCATCGGCGTCTGAGGGTGATGATAATGATGATGATTTTATGATGCTTACAGCACTTGAGGTTTGCTGAGAGCACGGCTCTCCTTTTTCTCAGCTCCTCTTTCCAGCTGCCTGAGCCAGGGGATCAGGTGTGGCCATCTTTGGGTCACAGGGAGCAACTGGGCTACAGTTGCTGGTGCTGATACCACCTCCTCCGTGAAGCCTTCCCTGATCACCTCTGGCAGTCTTCGTGTCTGTCCCTCTTCTCCAGTCCTTTGTGTGTGAGGAGCTCATCTGTTCCCCTCACTGCTTCCTTAAGGGAGGAGATTCTCCTTCTCTGGGTATGCATCTTTGGACCTCACCCCTCTTTCCCCATACTTCCATTCTCAAGACAGCCTAGCACGGTGCTTGGCGCATGCTCTGTACTTTGATAAATACTGATTGAATGAACCAATGACCTGTAGATCTGGAATGATCTGGAATTCCACAGCATAGGTCTGTATTGTCTATGGTTCTGCAGACGGATTGCCTTGCGTTGGGTCTGGCTCAGACTGGCCCAGGACCACACACCCTGCCTGTGGCCCCAGGTGGTCTTTGTGGGCTTCCTAGTGGTTGCTGCCCAGGAAACCCCGTTGGGGAGGACGGTGACCTTGTGCCTCTGGGGAGTGGTGAGGGTGCAGTGGAGATTCAGAAAGCCGGAAGCAGCCACATGCTTTGTTGCTTTTCTTTTTTTAAAATGAACTTGCCAGGCGCGGTGGCTCACACCTATAATCCCAGCACTTTGGGAGGCTGAGGCAGGC